TCCTTGCATATCGGGTCGAGCCTCTCCGTGATTCGTGGCGCCTTCTTCATTGCTTGCTTGGCGATGTTCTCGCAACTTCTTACTGCTCTCCAGACTGTAGCATCCGACACAGAGAGGGTTAATTCCGATCGGATCTGGTTCAAGGAGGACGTACTGTTGGAAACACTTTCAGAATCTTCCGCTCATGATGGACAGTACCTTGCTTGGGCGTTCGCAGTTGGTGTTACATCTTGGGACATCAGGACTCTCCAGAAATCTTTGCATGGAGCAGAGAGATCTCCCATTCGCCTGGAAATGGCTTGTCACTGAGCCCAGCTTCAAGAAGTACCTGAATTCGAGCCTTCTGGAATAGTTCATATTTTAGGGTGACCCTATATTTATGAAACGGTGCATAAACCGCTAAACTGTTCTAAGAGTTCAGAAAAATGCAGCTGCTGCTAAGAACCGGATACCTAGGTTACTCGTGCTGTGGGATCCGTTCATGATGCTAGGAAAAATCCTGAATGTCTGCTTCATTTGAAAGTGCAAAATTTGAAGGTAACGATATAATTATGAAACGCACTGTATGACTATATTTACGCGTTTTGTTAAAATGCTCTCTGGCTCGAAATAGGACAAGCCAATCAGAAATGATTGAAAAGAAACCTGAGTCATTGGCACTGATTTTGATGTGTTTTAGGGATGTAGTCTACTGCCGCTATTTCGATGTGTTTCGGAAAGAGATTGGTGTACCATTTAAGACCGTGATATTTCCTGAATTCAATGCACACTGTGAAGTTCGCAATGGCACTGCTTTCATGTCTTTGACGGACACCCCCTCAGCCGCGTACGACTTTCCTGTTCCTGTTATCAATCGGACGCAAAGCGGTGAGATAAATAGAATAATACGCATTTTTCCCTTCTCAGACCAAAGACAGATATAGATGATATACGTACTCTGACAGAAAAAGCGATCGCATTTGCCTCCTCACTGTTTTACCATCATAGTGGAAGGTGAAGCATTGAAATGACGACTCTGACACTTCTGACGGTGTAACAGTATTGGAGAAATTGAGAAGTTCGAGTAATAGAGCTATTACAAGATTCACTGAAACCCTGTTTATTTCCCGAAGTACATACATACCTTGTTGAACTAACATTAATAGTAAATAAGACAGATACAGAAAACGCAAAGTGACCATTCTGAAAGAAGGTAAGAGTAAGATAGAGTGGAGTCACACCACAATAATTAATGATCGAATTCCGATTCGGAAGGCTAAAATTGTTCATATCATAGTTCATATTATCAGAAGACCAATCAACACTGATTCAGTGTTGATTGGTCTTCTGATATGTATATCGTCTAGTGCTGATCGCGTGACAAATCGTCCGATAGCGGGCGTCGCTGTCATTGTTTACGATATTGGAATGCTCCAGCGGTACACCGTTTTGTAAATTTTTTTTCGACTAGAAGGTGTGACCTCTCGTTCTCGTTAGCTACGATTTCCTCACTGCGGTTGTTGTCTGAGAGAAGGCCATTTCAACAGAATGAAATTCAGTCTTGAACGCCTCAGGGCGATATTGGACGCCTATACAAAGTCCGAGGTCTGAGAGAGATTGCTAGTTTTTACAAATATGATTGTTGACGAATTATTTGATATGAGTACTTTCTTACAAGTTAAATTCGCCGTTAACAGAGAAAATTAACTTGAAGAAGCTAGAAAATGTAGTCTTTGTGAAAACATGCCGAGACTGGTATTGTGCTTGAATAGCTTTTCCACTTAATTCCAGGCATACACATTGCAAACCATAGAGAAGTGCCGTTTGCGAAGTATGGGCATATCACTCATCGCGAATAGAAATTAACTCATATTAGCCATCCTTCAGTTTGAAAAGCCACTGTGATTGAAATGATCAGTGCTGTTGAAGAAAGCAACGATCTGCTTATCTTCGATTTGAAATAAGTCAGTTGCTTCACGACTTACTGAGTTTCTTCAATGAATCGAATGCCTTCTGGTTATAATTATAGCGAACGTTGATGCTAATGACGTAACTTCAAGACTTTGATGTACTGAGGAACCCAAAATTGAAGTTTCCCTATTTTCAGACTGAAGCTTTGTAGAGCTTGAGGAAGTTGAACTATGTAAAACACCATATGAAAAAAAAGAAAACCAGCATCATTGTTAAGAAAAGATCAAAAAAGCGCGAGTTTGCGGTTTTTTGTGACTTCGCGAAAAGAGTGGGTATTGTATCTTCACTGCTTCGCATGAATCTAAAATATGCAAAACCATTTGAGAGTTACAAAAATTCATGCTGAATGATTACAATCTGGAGGTGTACCCCTTCAGAAGCAAAATACTTCTTTTCTGTCTGTGTTGCACCAATTTTTGGTAACGAGCCAAAATGGTTACTATTAGCTGAACTCATTGAGCACTACAAACTGCAGGTCGGTTTACATTTATTATTGAAATGTCAGTATTGATGGTGAAACTCTGTGAATAGATTCGTTGTCTTGAAGGGTGCTTCTTATTTCTACGTGTATTCCAAATACATTGATGAATATAGTCGAATTCTGCTCGATGACTATATTCGCACTGGAGAAGCGGAAGCTATTATTCTGCACGATCACTTCGAAAGAGCGGATGACAGATGGCAAGCGGTACAATTGCAGGTAGATATGAGAAATTAATAAATTGATAGACAAATGGTATCAAAAAAGGTACCAAAATATCAAATTATTGAATTACATGCAAGATAGCAATGGCGGGATAAATGAATGCAAATAAAAGGGTATTTATGTGAGCATCATTGGATTTTACTGAGTTTTTTTTACATCCTTCTTTTCCAAAAAAAACTTCTCTTTGGATTGGCTTCTTGTTTGATAAGGTTGTGAAACTTAGGAGACTTCGGGTTATAAGGAAATATGCTTCAAGCGAGACACACTAGGGATCCTCGCAGTTGTAGGTAGGCTGTCAACATGAGTACACATATTAGCTTGGCACATACATATGTTGTGTACCGAGTTATATTAATTGCTATAAAATTTCATGAGCATAGCTGAAGTGTTGCCATTTGGAGACACAGCTGTCGTCTTCACTGGCAATCCGTAACGGTCATCCAGCCCACGAGATAGGTACTAATCGTAACGTCACTTTTGCAATAAATCCTGTGCACCATATTCTTCCCGACATCCAATGAGACCAAAAAAATGAAGAGGAGTGGGGCGCTTGGACGAGCTATACAATGTGCCTCACGGCGTACGTGTGGGTCCTGGTGCAAATAGAAGACTACGGTGAGCAAAAATTCATTCACTTAGAAGCATAAGTAAACAAAAAACCCTAGCAGCAGCAAAAGTAGCTCGTCAATAAGAAGACCCTCCGAGGCACCCAATGCAGTTGTATTTGGACCTGCTGCGGAACAAATGTAAGCCGATCCGTATCAAACTACTTGTGAACTGGCAGCCACTCTTGGGGTGAGACAGTCCACAGTTTTTCGTGGACTGAAGTCGATCGGCAAGGAGTGAGTGATCGGTCGATGGGAGTCTTATGTCTGAAGCAGTATGACACTGACCGCCGCAGCGACATGGACTTTCTCTCCTCACGCTCAAGCGCACACACACGTACTCTGACGTTCACCGGCGTGCTCAATAGGTTGACAAAGGGGCGGATGCCGCAGACTTCCCTAAACCCAACGTACCCGCTAAGAAGGTTATGCTCTGCATCTGGTGGAGCGTTCACGGTGTCGAATACTAAAAGATGCTAGACGACGGATGTACAGTGACTGCAGATGCCTACATTGAGCAAGTGAGGAATTTGAAGACGAATCTCGAAGCTACACATACACAGCAGCAAAATATTTATTTCCAGCACGACAACGCTCGGCCACACATTACAGAACGACCAAAACTGAACTTATGAATTTCGGCTGGACAATTTTACCACACCCATCATATTCGCAGACTTCGCCTCCTCGGATTACCACCCTTTTCCTCATCTCCTACGCCATTTGGATGGCCAAGGCTTTCAAACCCGCAACGACGTTAAAATGGCACTCGACCAGCTCTTCAAGGGTCAGCTTCCAGCGTTCTGGAGCGAAAGCGTCTACGATCTGCCCAAACGTTGGAGATCATTGTTTAAAAATTGTAAGAAAAATATAATTACTGTCTATTTGTTCGAGGACTTATGGCTCAACCAAATAAAAATGATCCACTGGTACCCTCTGAGCATCACTCCTACTCATCCTCCTCATGGCTCTGATGTCGCACCAAAAAATTACCGCACTTTCTGCACTCTAGACTATTCTCTAACCAGTAAGAAATAAATCACAGGCTAACAACGAGGAACTAAAAATCGACATTTGACTTTTTCATACCACAAAACAGGAGTTCTATGAAAGCTACATTAGCAGCTTCTGATAGATAATGATGCCTACTGTGATTAATAACTGTTCCTAGGAAAAAGCAAAAAAGTATTAGGCTGATGCATAATTATGGCGGATTTTTTTAACAAATTTCGTTTAACGAAACGATAAAAATACTGAACAAAATGATGTTTAAATAATTACTCCGAAACTTATCCACCACCTACGTCAAGCACTACTTCCCACTGGCTAGATAGTCGGACTCCAAAAGCGAAGAAGTTTTGATCCTTGGGGGCGATGCACGCCTTGATATCGGCTATCAAGTCATCCAAATCGACGGAAGTTGTATTCCCTGGCCATTTTTTTCAGCGATCGGTTGACGAGTTGATCCATAGAAGTTTCTGCTGGTGAATATGACAGATTTAGAAGCAGATCCCATTTTTTGGTTGGCTTTGACCGACTGTTTCATCACCGGAAAGTTATTGAGATCGCGCAATGACACTGCCACTTTCCAACCTTTCTCGAAGAGTAGAGCCTAATTTAACGAACATGCGGATGATTTTCTAAGAATATTTTCGTAGAGGAAATCAAGCTGATTGTTTCTAGAAAGAGCCCGAACTCAATTTTCAAATTCTATCGAGAAAAAAAAGCCGCGAAGAAGTCCGCAATAATTACGCATCAACATATTAAAACAGAGTGTACCCGTAGTGGCCCAGTAATCTGGGCCAACCTAATGGTGGACGTCGTGTAAACGTTGTGATGAAGCTCAGCCCCTTTGCTCATCAAAGGGATCCGTTTTTTCGCTTTACCTTTCTCGTCTGGTCCCTTCAGTCGGACTTCAGAAATTTACTCTGTGATCTTCAGGACTGTCTTCTCCGGGCCCGCAGGCACTCTCGCTGGATCGCCTTCATTGATCTCGATGAGAGGTTGATCATGACAGAGTATGATGGAACTATTCACAACTATTTGAGGTGTGTTGAAATCACGCTGGTAATTATAACCTCTGCCCCGGTGATCCCGGTATCTGCTTACAACTTCCTCAATTTATTTGTATTATAACTTACCTCACGAATGCATCCATTGCGTTATCCGCCACCTCGGATAATTCGAGAGCAGTTGTTCAGGAATATTTCCAACCCAAAAATTGGAGCGATTCAGTTTCGTCAACGATGGATCCTCAAGAACGAGTCGTTGCCTGAACGCTACGATGGGGACCAAAAGGTGGGTTGATGTTACGCATTGCCCCACATGTTTGATAAACTTGTAGCCTGAAGTGAATTAACTTAACTAATGATACTGAACTTTAAGGAAGGTGAGTTTGGAAGCTGAGGAAAATGAGTTCGGCAGCTGAAAATTGTTTTGATTCAGATAACAAGTTGGCTGAACCCAACCATTCTAGCCGAGCGCAAAGGCTATCTCACATAACTTCCAGTTTGCATTCTTTCAAGTATAACCGTGGCAGAGCTCGCAACAATTTCCTTGGGACCCCTGTTTTCACTGATCAGCTCTCCTGTCTTCCTTTTTCTCTGAGCATTGTGTAGGACAGAATGGCACCGAAATTTTCATATAATTTCCTTGGATGATAAGCATTGGTTTAAGGTAACTTCTTATAGTTTTTGAGGTGAGCGAATGGCTGCCTACGCGGCGGTACCACAACACATCTAGCGTTGGACCACCTGGACATACTACAAAATGCATCGTCGATCCGGAAAAGGTTAGGCAACTGCATATAGCCTTGTTCTCAAAGCTAGTGGTGTTCTAGTGGTGGTATTCTTATGGTGATTTCCTCGGATAAAGTGGTATAGTGGCAAGTGGCGCACTACCTCACACGCATGGTAACACATTCGAATCCCTAATCGAACCACAAGTCTTTCAACAACTCGGGTTATTGGAAGCAGATCCATATGGTTGGCTAAAAGCGCTGACTTGTACATTACAAGTGTTTGTATGGACCACATACACATTTAATCGCCATTGTACATAAATGGAAGTTGGATGGGTGAAATGGGGCATCCAATAGATGAGATTGATCAATGCTCAAAAACTTTTGACTTCATGCTTTATCCTTCATGTGGTTTCCTACTCTGAGAATCGAATGAAATGTATGAACCTACTACTTCTTCTCTCCCAGGGTGCTATGAAGTTCACGGATTTTCGTAATTTTACCAGAGAAACTTTCGAGCTTTCTTAAATTGAGGAGAGCAAAGTGTTTTCTTTCGGTGAACAAGTGATGTAGTCATTTAAGGTCCTGATAATGAACGTACATTATGTGGAAAAGTTCTTCGATGACTATTTTCTCTATCCCTTGGATCCCAGAGAAGGTGTTGTCAGGTTAGTCCCGAAGAAATCTCTTTCACTCAACATCCTAACTATATTCCGCCATACGTGATAGTTTCGAAAGGTATGAGAATGATTTTTTCTACCCCATAGCCTACTGGTGTGCCTTACTTACTTTGTTGGAATGATGAACGTTTCAGGCACTATCGAGACGTGAAGTCTGGCAATTGGGGGAAAAAGTGGTTGCAAAGTGTCGAGCGAATGGGTAACTTTTCCATGACTGACTATCCGGAACGCTACGCTAATCCATTGCTGAACAATGTCCAACAACGTGTTCGCTACGTATATGGGAAAAGTCTCAAAAATTTAAGACTAGAATGAATATTCACATATTCAAGAACACAGCCATCAAAATGCTTTTCAGCAGTGGAAACACAGAGCACATTTTATCTGTATGAATATATTCGTAACTCCTTTCCTACAGGATCTAGTCATGCGGAATTTCAATATGTCTGACATGGGTGTATTGTGAATATTTCCCACAAATCTGCGATCTGGTCATTTTTTTCATTCTCATTCTGTACGAATTCCATACTCCTACCATGCTACATTAATCCCATGAAAGTTCCAAGTAGTTCGCATAAATACTTCAAAACTACAGGAGTTGCGATGTACAAATGAAGTGACAGAAGGCTTCTCGATCCTACAGATTACCAGAGGTAGAGAACAGTCATGAATTTGATTTTCACTTAGCGTCATCGAACAGGAATTTGAATTCGTTGAGGCATTTCCGAAAGCTACTAAGTATTGAAAGCCATTTGCAATAACTTCAAAAAATGGGCATTACGAGCTCTTGTGAACTTTCATTCGAAATAAATCCATTTGTGTAGATAATTAATTGTTTATATGTCCAGTCAAATATCTGGAACTTCGTATTTATGTAGATGACTATTGTACATATCGAGCTGAATAGATGAAATTCCGTATTCGTATCATAGGCACAGTTTTAGTGTATAACTCTGTAATCCATAGCATAAGAAAGTTACAATGGTTTCAGGATTTAAGACTCCAATCCCATAGCAGTTTAATTTGAACCCATACGATAGTTTGGAGGCTGTTTTCTTGGCTGGCAAATTCGAATTCTTATTATGCAACCTTCGGTCACACCCACCTAACTATCTGCACAATAACGTTATCCAGAGAAGCCATTACTACTTCCTCAGGATTACAAAATGCCCTTCAGTCGTTCACAGAAGAAAACTTTGATAAACCAACAACATCACCAGGACGTCAAGACCCAACAACACACTAATTCTTGGAACTTACGTTCACAAGAGCGCTACTGGTTAGGTGAATAACCTACACATCTCGCCGTCGGCATGGTTAATGCCTCGGTGTAGGAGACAAATGGAAAACTACGCAGTCTTATGCAGAGAAATGCCTCTA